CCAACCACCACGACAGCCGCCACGACAGATACTACAGACACGCACAATATGGCGACCACCACGACAGCCACCACAACACCTCCTGCGTTCAAGCACACCACGGCTGCCACCACGACGGCCACGACGGCTACGGCAGCGCCTCCGACGTGCACACCACGGCGGACACTATGACAGCCACAACGACCACGGCAGCGACTCTCACGTGCACGCACACCACGGCGGCCTCCAGGGAAACCATCACAACCGCCGCAACAGCGACGTTATCGAGGACGCACCGCACGGCGGCTACCACGACAACCACGACAGCGACTTGTACGAGGACGGACACCACGTCAGCTACCACGACAACCACAACAGCCACAACAGCGAGCTGTACGAGGACCGCCGACCCAAGCACCAGCGCCGATGACTCCAGTAGCACCGCCGACTGCAGTAGCACCATCGACTCTGGCAGCACCATCAACCCTGGCAACACAACCGACTCGGCCAGAAGCACCAAACGACCCCAGCTCCATCACCGACCCCAGCAGCACCACTAACCTTAACAACGCCAGCTCCAACAGCAACACGAATCGCAGCAACACCGCCGAGCCCGGCAGCACCACATACTACAGAAGCACCACTGGATCCGACAGTAGCAGCGCCACCGACTCCAACAGCAGCACAGTCTCGACCAGAACCACTGTCATCAGCAGCACCACCGAGACCGATACCAAAGACTTTGGCATCAACGCTAACGGCTCCAGCACTACCGCCGCCAACAGCACCACCGACACGAGCAACAACACCGACTCCAGCAGCACCGCCGAGTTCGGCGTTAGCGCCGCTGACCCAAGCAGCACCACAGATTCTAGCAACGCCACGGAGCCCATCATATCAGAACCACCCACTCCACTAGCATCAGTCTTCGTCAGCAGCGCCGCCGACTCCAGCGCCACCGACTCCAGCGGCGCCGCCGACCCCAGCATCACCAACGACTCCAGCAACGCCACCGACTCCAGCAGCACCACCGACTCCAGCAGCACCACCGACTCCAGCAGCCCTGCCAACCCCAGCAGAGCCGCCGACTCCAGCACCGCCGACTCTGGCAGCAGCATCGCCGCCTTCAGCACTACCGACTCCAGCAGCACCACCGACTCTGACAGCAGCGCTGCCGACTCCAGCGCCACCGACGCCAGCGGCACCGCCGACCCCAGCAGCACCACCGACCCCAGCAGCAGCACAGTCTCCACCAGAACCACCGCCCTCAGCAGCACCACCGAAACCAACACCAAAGACGTTGGCACCAACGCTAACGACTCCAGCACTACCGCCGCCAACAGCACCACCACCGACTTTGGGGGCTCGCAAGAGCACGGTAATCAATTCCGGGTGAAAAATTCAATCAATCAATCTGCGGCGGCCGACGACAAGGCCCTGCAGGGGGCAAACGCCAAACATGGAACACGGGGGCGACGACCCACAGGGGCGCGCCCCCAGGCGAGCCGAGAAATCGTCTGGCGCCTCGCCAAGCGAAGCAGCATAACGACGCAGAACTTAGGTGCACTCGGGTTCAATCGGAAAAGGAAAACACGCGGACACACCAAGAGTGGCTTGAGGCCAGGTTTGGTGCACACCCCAGAAACCGAATGGAAAACACCGAAAATGAGTACACCAAACAAAACTTCTGACCAGGATTCCTCGAACATTCCTCAAGCACCTTCGCTTAGCTGCTTCCCACTGAACGGCCCTGCACTGCCTCTCAACCATGCGTCTGGCCTCGGCTCAGCGGCTCGCCGAGGCGTGCCAGCGCCCGCCGCCGACGACTCTAACAACGCCACGGAGCCCATCACATCAGAACCACCGCCTCCAGTAGCATCACTGGCTTCAACAGCAGCGGCGCCGCCGACTCCAGCGCCACCGACTCCAGCTGCACCACCGACCCCAGCAGCACCACCGACGTCAGCAGCACCGCCCATTCTGGCATCAGCGACGCCGACTCCAGCAGCACCACCAGCTTCAGCAACACCATAGAGCCCAACAGCGCCACAGCCTCAAGCCGCACCACCGACTCCCGCAA